CATAGCTACAAGGCGTTTCAAAGCACAAAAAGCATTCTAATACATTCCTGACATTGCTAGGAATCGATTGCAATCAAAAACGAGTCCCCATACTCCAAGAATTGGTAGAACAGAATCGTCTTCTTCATGAACATGTCCATAATCGTTTTTTAATTTACATGCATTATTCATGAGTTCTAATTGTTGATTCTTGCTAATATTGATGTTCTGAAGCTATTGGTAATATTTAATTATCCTAACAATGCTTGAAACGAGATTTGCCATTAACGTTTTCTAGGGTTTCAGAAGCTCTAAATTGGGGCTTTACACATATGGCAAAATCAGACCACCAAACTTGTATGGGTGAATTCGTGACACGAAGACGAAGCAAACCCATACCTCGCGCCCTTTTTATATTTGTCTATGCTCTAATCGCTATTTTTTCAGGCTTCGTTTAGTGGGGGTTTAAAACCCCCGATACTTGTTTTGTGTTTTGCAGAAAGAATGAGGAAGACGCTGAGGTGTCCAGATATGGTTGGGGCATTCAAAATTTTAGCGCGTTTTTTTGTTTCATATCATTAACGTTGGTTTTGTTTTTATATTATTTGTTATCTATTACATTACAAACGCGCGCAAACAGCTCACTTGGTCAAGGCATTCGCTTGGTAAACGCTGGGACCTGGGTTCGATTCCCAGGTCCCCCCACATGTTCAATAATTTTTGCTTTAATATGTTCCCATGCAGTTTCCAGTCAAAAGGCTCACCGTGCACGCTCACATCCAAGCCTGCCACGCGCCCATGAGCTTCAATCCAAAGGCTACAAAAGGAGTTCTACCATGTACGTTAGTCAATGCACATACACACGCGCTAGAAAGTCAAACAGGGCTTGGATTCTGATGGGCCAAAAATACTTCAAAAACCTCCTAAATGGACCAGACACCCCCAATGTTTGTATTATATTTTCTAACTTCCTTTTCTTTTCTTTTTTTGGTTTTAATTTGTTTTAATTGTTTTATTTAATTCACCAATAATTAATTTTCATAATAAAAATATCAGAAACTAAAATATGTCAATTAATTTATTTATTAAATATTTTTGTAAATAAATGTCAAACAATTAACTTAGTTTAATTTAGGTTTTCAATTTTAATACTTTTTCTTAAATAAATAAAATATGTAGAAATTAGGGTTTCTAACCTTTTTATCTTTTTTTTCAATAAATAATTTTCTCATTATTATTATTATTATTAAATATTTTTGTAAATAAAAATGTAAATTAACTAATTAGTATAAATTAGGTTAACTTGTATATTTTTCATTAATAATTAAAAATATTTAGAACTAGGGTTTCCTTCTAATTTTAATTCTTTTCTTATTTTCATAAACATCAAAAACCTAAAAAACATTTCTTTTCTTTAATTTAATAATCAATTAGCTTTTAATTCAATTTAATTTCAAAAGGGTCAAAACCCTCGGACGTTCTATTTTTATTCTTTTCGCACGTTATTTTATTTTCTTGTGAATATTATGTAACTGCTCAAGCCATGTAATAGTAATTAGGTCTTTTACTTTCCGCATTTTTATTCAAACGGGTCTTTGTAATTTGGTGATGTATAGACCTGCGCCTTGTAATAGCGTAGGATTTATCTTTCCGCATTTAAATTTCCGCACTTTTAAATTCTAATTGCATGAAAGAATGAATGCCTAAATTAAAAACAAGCGTAGGTCACAATGCCATGATCAAAAGATAAATGCTAAACATGAAAATAACACACAAATTCACACACCACTCTTAGGGTACGCCTCACTGTTGCCTTGCCTTCGAAACGCGGTCGTCGAGTATAGGACGTTTTAGTAAGTCCTTATGTCCATGACATGATCCAGTTGCCTCGAAACGGTTGCCTCGGAATTAAAAAGGATCAATGGCATAAGGGTAGCTTCTAAGGTGTCCTACTGTTGCTCTGGTGACCACACTGTCCCTACAAACGAATTGACCCGAACACCTCCAACGGTGGTGCTACCTACCTCTCAATGGTGGGATGGCACTACCTTAAGGACATTTACACAGCCTCATTCCTTAGGGTAGGTGGATGACTCATAGATACTTGCTCTATTCAAAAACAAATCAAAACTCTTTTCACACCGACACTTTCAAAAAGCTTTCAAAACAATTTTTCAAACACTCTTGAGGACTGATACAAGAGTCGATCTGAAATCTTTAAACGAAACTTTTTCAAACCCACTCACACTTTGAAAAGCAAACACTTTTGAAAACACAATGAGCAAGTATCTAAGAGCCCATGGATAACCATGGATAGAAAGGGTGCTAACACCTTCCCTTTCTATAAATCTACCTCCCGAACCGAGAAACTATCTCATAAGGAATTTTGCTGTGCTTTTGTCCTGTCCATGTTGGAGAAAATAAAAGACGGTGGCGACTCTTGCTTCCGCGACATTTCGCGAACCAGCGTTAAACAGTCAGTTCCAGATCCACCGATCACACTTCCCTTTCTATAATCTATCCCCCGTACTCAAAATCTCGAAAAAGGGAATTTTTCTGTGCTTTTTTCCTTTCCAGTTGGATAAAATAAAAGTCGGTGGCGACTCTTACTTACCGCGATATTTTGCAAACACAAACGCAAACCAGCATTTTAAACAGTCCGGTTCTGGCCACCGTATCACACCATCCTTCCACCACTAATCAAGTGAAAGGGTGTTGGGAAACAAGGATCGTGTCTCCGACCAAAACCCTCATTAAGGCGCATAAACGGGCAGAAATTCGAGAAAGAACCCTAGGCCCTAAAGGACCATCTATAACACATCACGAAATGCCCGGGGAGGATCCACGACAGCTCCGTCGATTCTAATATACAAAAATACCGCCTACCACCAATACTCCCCAAGGTCGTCCTAACAGACAGAGTGCTAAACCCTAGTCGCATGCATTTCTAGGAAGAAAATCATGAAAAGATGAACTACTGAAAGCAAACGACAGTGAAAAACTGAAAACTTACCAGTTAAAAGAAGAACAAAAGGCTGGAAATAACAGTAACGAGCAACGAATCTTGAGAAACGACGGTGGTCGACAGTGAGTGATTACGAGCAGTTGGGAGAGAGAACGAAAAACACTAAACTCTCTACTCCTCTCGTATTTATAGCTGGGACCATCCGTGTGTGCGAGACATGCGCCTGGAAAACACTAGGGTCGTCATCATTACATCCTAGCCCATAGGCCATCATTGCGCCGCTTCGCCAGCACGCTACCTGAAACACGCTACCTCTTCAAGTTCAAAACTCCTAACGACCAACTTCTCATCTCCCCACGAGGAAGGCGTAACGGGCGACACTCATTCTCCCCGTAAGGCGCGCCCCATTCCACGGGCATGTGTTAAAGTCACCACTCATGTTCCCATAAGCAACGACTTGGAGGGCTACTGTTCTGGACTGACCCGACAGCTAGAATGGGCTCAGTCTATCCCTTTCTTTAAGTACGCTCTGCACGTCCATGGCTCGAACCTCCCCGCTCTTTGTCGGGCAATATCAACCCTTGGCCTTCCCAAGTCGGCACTGACCTAAGATGATCAACGAGCACCTCTCAGTCTGCCCGACATCAAGCCGTGCAGGCAACCAGGAACCGACCAGACCTCTTCCTATAACTTGCCTCCTCCTCGGAACCAACAGCTAGTTACGGGCACATCTGCCCGATTTGACAAAGTCCTGGCAGTTACCTATTTTTGCGGACCCGCATATCCAAGCGCAAAAACAGGAACCAATGGCCATGCGTCATGAGCATTATATAAACCCTCACACCTGTGAGGGCCAGGTATCAAATATTCATTATTCACCACCAATACATTAACACTTTGCTTGTAACTCTTTGTTCTCACTCTTACTTGATCGTCGGAGTGTCTTGCAGGTACAATCCCCCTTTTTCCTCTTCGACATCATAGTCTGACTAGAGATTATTATCCAGCCACTTTTCAGATTCTGATCAACCGGTAAGATCAAAATATATATATATATATATATATATATATATATATATATATATATATATATATATATATATATATATATATATATATATATATATATATATATATATATATATATATATATATATATATATATATATATATATATATATATATATATATATGTGTGTGTGTGTGTGTGTGTGTGTCAAATTTGTAATTGATAAATATAAAAAAAATGGGTCAAATATTTTATGAGACAGAATATATGAAAAATATTTTAAAAAAATGGGTCAAATTTGTAATTGATAAATATAAAAAAGTACAGGATAAATATTTATATTTTTGGCAAATATAAAAAAATATATATATCATACAAATGTTTTTCAAAAAATATATAAAAATACAAGACAAATGAAAAAAAAAAACAATTCTATTCAAATTTACAAAACCTAATTACAACATGAGCATAATCAAAAACCAAACCATAATGAACTTAATCATTTTATTCAATTATTAAAAATGTATAATGGCTTGCATATAAAATCAAATCTTCATCTATTTATTTATTTAAATTAATTACATAAATTAAAATTTATATTATTTTCTGACTAATTAAATATATTATCTATTAATTCCATATTTCATTAACACATACCATAAATTCAATTATGTTTAACAGACCCGCGCTATCCCGAGCAATAGCACGGGGATTTGTCTAGGATATGAGAAAATACAACAACAAAGCGATTTTTGCTAAATTTAAAAAGATAATTAAATTACATATAGTATATAATATAATGAATGGCTAAGGATTTTGGCTCAGCATTCAACCATATCATGTTTTAAATATATATTCATTAACCATAAATATCAGTATAACAACGCTAATTAGACAATAGAATACAAAACAAAACCACAAACTAATTTCGGGTGCAACTTCAATCACCGTTTTCCCACCACGAAGATCTGTCTAATGTTACACAAAAAATAAATACTTTTGAAAAATAGAAATAATCAAACACCTCCAATTCTAATTACCATCAACATGGATTTTTGCAATGGAGGTGTAAAAATCCTCTTCATTCTGTCCGGCTTGGCTTTCGTTTTAATGTTTGTTCCATTTTCGCAAGCTTCGACTTCCTTATGGAGCGAATTAATTCATCCAAAATTAACGGTGAAAATAACGTCGAAAATTCCAGGCGGAAATGTTCGTGTTAAATGCATATCAAGTGAGAATGATATTATAGGTGGATATTTGAATTCTTCTAGCATGAAGCCATTTACATTTGAAGTTAAACTCAAGTTTCTCACAACAATAAGATACAATTGTTTGTTGACGCAACATGGGAAAGAAATTGGACAGTTTTTGGGATTTCGAAGTGGTTCTTATTGTGATAAAGGTTGTATATGGGAACTTTATCCACATTATGCTTTGCGTTTGTCTGCAAAAAGAGGTTATGTAAATCAAACTTATAAGGCAATTGGAAGCCCTGATGATCATAATTATGACTATTCATAATGATATTTTTTAACAAACCATAGAAACTCCATATTACATTATACATAGCTAGATTAGCTTGACTATTGTGTGTAATATTTTTATTATTTTATCATTATTTTATTTTTAATATAGAAATATTGATAAAATTCATTATATTTTGATATGATATTTGCAGCAGATGAATGAGGTATTTGTCAAACTTAATATTGATAACATTATTCATTGCATTACCCTATGTCCAGTGTCCAACAATGTCTCAAATATGATTAGTAGTTAGTGTGTTGTTCACCGAAAATGTGCATTAAGCTGGTTCGTTCTTAGATTATGAATTATACTTTCTTATTAAATTCCCAAAATCATAACATTTATTGAAAATTTAGTAAATATTTGGAGCAGATTAAAGGAACAATTTTCAAAAGATGTTTCTAAATTGTATTTTGAGGTTAATATTTTGAAGAAAGAACCATAATATGGAACATGTTAGTTTGGTGAATTTAAGATTTTATGGCAAGAATTGGAGTGTTATTATTGTTTTACGATTTCGAAAATACGCTAAAGAGGAAATGATTGAGTTAAGTTGTAAATTAGGTTTCTCTCTTTAAGACGTTTTACGTCACAACTTAACATTGTGCAAGACAGACAATCAACTACGACGCCTCTAGGATAAAACAATCAAATTCAAAATAAAACAGAAAAGAAAAATAAAACAGAAAAGAAAAATTATAGATGAAGTAGACACGAGAGAGGACAAAGATTTCGAATAATGCATAAATTTAGAGTGGAGAAAATGAGGTGCAAAGGTCTCTATTTATAGAGGAATTCTGAATCCGAATGTAGAGAAAATAAGGGGAGCAGAGTGGAACTGACTAATTCTTCCCACGATCAGGCGAAGTAGTAGGCTATAGTAGATATCACCTAAGACTAGGGATACCCTATACTTATCAGATAACTCTTGATAAAATAAAGGCTTGACTCGATCAGATATCTCTAAGGACATAAGATTTAGATGGATGGTTAAAGGTTTTTCACTAAGGACTTAGGGAAAAATAACCTAAAGGGCTGGTAATTGAATGTGATGAACTTGTTGAAGAGATCAGGATTCAAGGTTATTACATGGTAGACTATACATCTTCCCTAGCATGGTACTCATATCTGTAAAAACAGTCCTTCGCATTTATTTATTTTATTCACGAGTATTTTCTTTTAGCAAATCAAACTCAAACTCTAGTTTTTGTTTAATTGATCCACAAATTGAACTCAGTACTTCTGTACAGTCCTTGAGATAGACATTCGGGGAATTTCCATCATTATTACAAGAGGCAAAATAGTACACTTGTTATTTTTCCTATCAAGTTTTTGGCGCAGTTGCCGGGGATTTCCAAAATATAGAGTTTTAATTCTAGTTCAATTAAAATTTTGTTTCTCTGCAACTAAAATTTTGATTTCAGTTTTTTTTATATATTTTTTTATTTATTTGAATTATATTTTATTATTAAAAAAAGAGAAGAAAAAAATGGGTCAGATTTTTGTTACTTCATGAATTCTTCTATACTTTGTTGCTAATAAAATGTCTGATTTTTGCAGTCATGTATTATTTTTATACATTGTCACTTGTATCTCCTGCATGTTGGTCGCCTGATTCGGGAATCACTTTCGAAGGGGCGACTAAAATTTTTAAAGCATATAAGAGGGAGGTAAGGATTCTGATGAATGAATGTAATGAAGCTAACTGTTATCCAGATAGGTTTATTTGGAGAGAGTTCAAGTTGGAAAAGAAGAATGCATAATATCAGATGACAAGGATGCAGTAAGAATAGAAGAATTTGTGATAAATAAGAATGATGGGGAAGAGGAAATTAGGAAACTTGAAGATGATCGAGTTTTGGATGAAACTGCAAACTTGACAGTTTGTGAAGAGGTGGACATCCAACCAGAAAATCTTCAACAAAAGAATCTCCCTAAAAACTATTTTCACATCAAGGAAGATAAAAGACAAGAAATTGACAAAGTATTGGATGTCATGTATGCCTTGTTCGATAAAATCAAGTTGAAAAATATTTAGAAGCAACACCATCAGTATTTTAAGTTCATGGGATTGCTACCTAAAAAAAGAAATAAAAAGGATGATGTGTTCTTTGTGTCATATATGCCACCCTAACAAGGGGAATGAACCGTCGAGCCATGCGACGTTAAACGAAGCGCTTTGTGGGAGGTAACTCACGCTTTTAATAAGTTAGTTTTTTTTGTGTTTGCTTCATTTTGTTTGCATGTAATAAAAAGGGAGCCTTACTAGTGAAAGTTACGAAGCAACAACTGGTGTTGCATTTCTCTCTGTGAGTCACCTTCCTCGAGCTTGTTCTAAAACATTGGGGCCAATATTTATTTTTTTTACTACTTTTCTTTTCGATTTATTTGTTGTTTTTATGCTAAGTGCTGTGTAAATCCACGAGTTGGAGTCCTTCTCAAATTTTGACAGAAATTTTTTGTGTCGTTTTGCTCAAGAACGTGTATTTCATAGAGATCGAGAATAGTACATAGAGACAAAGGGATGATTGTTTGAGGGTAGGAAGTTCGGAATAACGTAACAGGAATACGAGTCTAACGTGTAGATTTGTACCAAAGTACTTGAATCCTGAGAAGTATTCCTTAAGTAGTTTATCTTGACTGTCTAACATAGTATAGATTCACATGCATACATGATTGGTTGAGAATTAAACAGAGTGGGCAACAAATAATGAAAAGACGGTAAAAGACAACTGGCTCACTAAGTTGGGTAGCCATCACCCGGTTATTCATCCCAAAGGGGGTTGATCCCCAAACGTTGTCCAAAAGGACAATATATAACTGTAAAGTTTGAAAATTTCATTGGTAATTAACAGTGGCAAATGTTGCCTATTTGGTGTCTAAACAAAGAAAATTCTTGACGAGTCTTGTGTCTGTGATGATAATCATAAGTTCCATTGCCTTAATTTGATTGTCCGAATGAAAAATGAAGAAAATCGGAAAAATACTCAAGTCCAAAGCATAGTTAGAGACGTATCCGAAGAGAACGCTCAGGTTAAAAGGTTCTTACACAAACTCTTCATGTCATGTGAACATCGAAAGAACTGTTTTTTGATCAATTGGAATGGACGTCTCACGTATGAGTATCGGTCTGCTATGATTTTCATGAGTATTTGTAATAGTTGCTTGAGGTCAAGCAACGGTTTAAGTTTGGGGGACTTTGATCAATGGTTTTTACACAGATATTTAACATTTATTTTAGTTATCGTTTCTTTTACTTATCAAGGTTTTATTTCGTTTTATCGCATATTATGCTTTGGTTTTATGTTTTAGTGTTTTAGGTTCAAAAGAATACAACAGGACAAATCGGGACGGAAAAAGTTCATAATTCAAAGTTTCAGAGGAAATTCTACAGGAGCCCTGACACGGGTGATCGTGTCACCTGACACGGGCTGTGTCAAGGGGAAGACTTGGAAAGCGTGGAAAACAAGGGCTGACACGGGCGGCCGTGTCGCCTGACATGGACCGTGTCAGCATGCCTGGAGCAGAAAAATTCCTGATAGCCAACACAGGCGGTCGTGTCGCATGACATGGGCCGTGTCGCATGACACGGGCCGTGTCGGCCAATGATGCTGATTTTAAGTGTTTTTATGATTTTTCACTATTTGGGATCCAAAAGGGCGTTTTGGGCATTTTTGGCCAAGACAAATGGATTATTCACTGTTTAGCCAAGTTTGAAAGAGGAATTAGGGGACTTCTTGCCAGCGAAGAATTACACAAAGAAGATTGGAGAAGATAGAGATTTCGGTGGAAGGAGATTTTCATGAACGGACAGGATTGAAGATCAAATTTTTCTCCCCAATACTTGTAATGTTTATAATTTATCATTTATTTTCTTTGAATAATATGAGTAGCTAAAACCCCAATGTTAGGGGGAGTGCATGTTTTGCATTTACAATGATTTTTAATTCCTAACTTGATAATACAATAGTTTTCTCTTCAATTTAATCGTTCAATGTTTTTAATGCTTTCTTTGTCAGACAAACAAGATTGATTTACGGTTAACAATCAGCTGGACCATGGTTGTTAAGGTTTTTGCACGATTAGGCTATAGTAGATATCACCTAGAACTAGGGATACCCTATAGTTACCAGATAACTCTTGATAAAATAAAGGCTTTACTCCATCAGATATCTCTAAGGACTTAGGATTTAGGATGGATGGTTAAAGATTTTCTCACTAAGGATTTACGGGAAAATAACCTAAAGGGATGGTAATTGAATGTGATGAACTTGTTAAAGAGATCGGGATTCAAGGTTATTATAGGGTAGATTATAAACCTTCCCTATAATGTTACTCATATCTGTCAAAACAGTCCTTCGCATCTATTTATTTTATTCGTGAGTATTTTCTTTTAGCAAATCAAACTCAAACTCTAGTTTTTGTTTAAATGAACCATAAATTGAACTCGATACTTCTGTGCAATCCTTGAGATCGACATTTGGGGAATTTCCCCTATTATTACAAGAGGTGAAATAAAACACTTGCCATTTTTTCTATCAATTACCACAGAATTGAACCAATGGTGATTTCTCTGCACCAACTTTTCTTTAAAGATTAATTGATGCCTTTATTATTCTGGAAACTAATCAAGCATCTGCAGAACCAGTAGTAGAAGCTCATGATGAAAATGTCTAAGATCCCTCTAATATTGGTGTCGAAGAAGCTCGGCCAAAAAGGTAAGCTTTGCTTTATAAGATTCGTTTGATCATAAGACAATCTTTGACACCATTTTGCTATTTTTTCAGGGTCGAAAATGTTCTTCGACTGCCGAAACTGTCTCCAATAATCCTCCCAAGAAAAAGAAAGCCTCCAAACCTCAACAAACACATGTATAACATATTCATATATTAACATTGTTAAGGTCAAAGTGCATCTCATTTCTCACATTTCTCAGATCCCTGAAGAAACACCACAAACATTAATTGAAGAGCAAGATTCCAACAATAGTCACC